CCGGCGCCCCCGCCCCCCGGCGCCCCCGCTTCGCCTTCCCGGCCCGAGGCCCCGGCGCCGGCGCACCTGCCGACCCGCAGAGCCGGCCCTGCGTCCCCGCGCCGTGCGCGCTCTCCGCAGCGCCACGGGCCGAGGCTGAGTGGGCGTGGACGTCCCGGGCCGGGGTTGGCGGCCTCTCCCGGGACCCCCGAAGAGAGCCTCAAGTCCACAGGCGCGGCAGCGGCGCCCTCTGCTGCCGGAGCCGCGAACGCACCGCCGAGTGGGTCAATGGCGCCCCTGGCGGTCGACCCGGCGCACAGCGCGGAGCCGGGCCGCCAGACCCTCCTCCAAGGCAGGGCAGGTCTGGACGCGGCCTGGGGTCCCACCTAGGGTCAGGCCTGGGGTGCGGCCTAAGGCCCCTCCTGGGGTCTCGGCCTACTCGCCTACATTTATCCGTAGGGACCGCCCCGGTGCTTTCCTGATGTTTCTCGGAGACTCAACGGAGCCTTCCAGCCACCGGAGCTGGTTTGCAGCTGAAGGAGTTCTCATTGCGTGACCACGTCCTTGACCCAGTGATTTAGGACCAGGTGTCCCTCATCTTTGCCACACTTGCTGGTGCTCTTGCTATTTCAAGTGGCTCTCGTAAAACACGACATAAAAATCTGTATTCCTTGTTTCTGTAGAAAACAGAAGTGTCTCCACCAGGCTTGAATTACACTAAGGACTCTGTAAGATGTGGAAATCAGCAGCCGAGGGAGGAAGATCGGATCATCAGTTCAAGTCCGGTAGCTTTAAAGCTTACGAGTTAAATCTTCAGTATTTATTTACTTGCTGTCTTATCAAAATGTTAAGTGAACAGGTACATGACTGTACATCCAGTATATAATGCATATGCCTTTTAAAAAGCAAATCACAGACCATGTGTGCTGTGGGACAGGTTTTGCGAAGTGTTCGTGCACATGTGTTATATATGTGTATGGATCACGTATTTTATGTAATTTATCTACATGGGTCATAGACATGGGCATAGATTAGAAGGACCCACTAGAAAGAGGATTCTTCTTAGATATTGCTAGTTTAGGCCATTTTTACTTGTTATAATTGAGCTTTTCTCAGTTTTCTTTACATTCTGAATCCGGTAGAATTACTTCATTAAATAGCAAAATTCGGTAAATATTAGCAGAAAGCACTATTAGCCTATATGGTGAACTTTTCTTACGTTTAACATAAACAGGGAAACATCCTGCCATTCATTCATGAAAATGAACCTTTTTCGTGGAACATAATAACTTGTAGCAGATTTTTAAGACAATGGCCCAAAGCATGGTGCTCAAGTGCCATCCGGTGAGCAGAGAGGACACGAGTCACACACAGCCCTGAGCGAGCCCACTGGACGGACCCCGGACGCTGAGCGCAGGAGGGCAATGACCCACGTGTCCTCTCTGCTTGGGGTTCCCACAGCCGTATTTAAGTAAGAAAAGCCTCTGTGTTGAACTGAGACCCTCTCCCGCCTTCACCCAGCTTGTCTCTGCACATGCGAACATAAAGATTTTGCTTTAAAACCATCTGGGGGGATTGAGGGAACAGAGCCACACAGATGGCGGGAGGCCGGCCCAGGGTCTCAAGCGGGGCTGGGTGACACATGTAGAGACTCGTGCTACGGTCTCAAGTCCTGTATTTAAATATTTCCATAATACAACCTTTTTTCCGAGGGTAGAGGCCCGCCACACAGCCTGTCTGGTCAAAATCCTGTCACACTGTGCTCAAAGGAGCCGAAGGACTGGGGGGTTCTCCACAGAGAGCGAGCACTGCTCCCAGGGCGGCTCCCTTCCCATCACCCACCACCGGAACCGTGTGGACCCCTCAGGGAGCGCAGCTCTGTTCCGGGCAGGAATCCGCCCAAGTCAAAGCCGGTCGCCCCCACCTCCCTGGCAGAGCCCTGCCTCGGCTCGGGCCTCACGGACCCGTTGGGCCGGGCAGGGGGGGAAGAGGGAGGCCGTGCTCAGTATTCTATGTTGAAAGGATAGTCCTTGTGGTTTTTAGCTCTGAAAAACAGGAAAACAAATCAAAATGAAATGTTTATGACGTTTAAGAGAAACCTTCTAAAAGACACAGCTGTGTGTTTTCAAGCTCCCGATGTATTCAGTTAGTCTTGGGACTCATTCAGAGGCCCATCCTCCGAGGGGAAAGCCTTATGAGAAGATTTAATCAACCTAAAATGCAGACGATCAACACCTATTCGCAATCGCCTCAACCCGAATACTGTTCCCTCCCCCTGGAACGGAGGTAAAGGAGACGTATTTACGTGGGCAAGGTGCACATTCGGAAATTCCTGTCCAGGTCGAGGATGTCGTTCATGTCCCTTTCTGATAATTCAAAGTCAAACACCTGCACCCAAAACAAAACGTTCACGGCGAAGTTAGTCCAGGGACCATCTCGTTGAGCACACGTCGCCCGCAAAGCGCTGCGCCAGACCTGCCGGGGACACAGGATGCGGAGAAACACTGCACGCGGCACCTGCAACTTCCCCGGATCATCAGCCTTCCTCCGCGAACCGCGGCTGCGACCCTGTGCCTGACGCTGGCTGCCCAGGGCTGGGTGAGAGCCCCTGCAAAGACGGGACGTGTACTGCACTCCCCCCCACCCCGAGGGGAATCAAGAGGTGGGAGGTGAGCAAAGAATTTTTCCCGTCGCTCAAAAACAAAACAAAACAAACAACACA